ATATATATATATATATATATATATATATGTGTGTGTGTGTGTGTGTGTGTGTGTCTGTGTGTGTGTGTGTCTGTGTGTAAAGGGTTTCTATGACATACAATTTATTTAAGTAAATGCTGCTTTTTAATATAAACAATTCGGACTTTACTAAGCAGATGCTTCTTTGTGGCTGTATTTCTTAACAGGACATCAGATCAAATGATGACTCTCATTGGTTCAATTTCCTGTCGGAGAAACACATATTTTCTACGAAATTTCTCGAACATTCAGGACGGTAAATGTAATTAATACTATTTAATTAATAAAAACAGAGCATTTGCTTAATTAAATTGTATCTATTGAAAGTAACGTATAAACAGGTAATATATTAAATAATTGACGGACTTAATCCCTTTCAAAATATATTTGTCCTTGTTTACGTTAAGTTACGTTTCGTGAGCAGAACATGATCGTTCAGGGGTCAGTCGTCAAAAGATTTGTTGTTTATAAAAAAGTAATTCAGGCTTTACTAAACAGACGCTTCTTTCTGGCTGAATGTTTAACAGCTTATCCGATCGAATGATCGTTTCCATATGGATTTCAGGTTCGATTCCTGTCGGTGAATCATATATTTTCTTCAGAAATTTGGCGATTCTTCAGACCGTTAAATGTAATGAACACGGCTTGTCTAAAAAAAAAAAAAAAAAACAAAAAAAAAACAGAGCAATTATTTAAATAAAATAAAAAAATATAATAAAATAAATTATAAACAGAAAATATATTAAATAATTGTCTGTCTTAATCCATTTCATAATATGTATTTTCTGTTTATACGTTATTTTTGTAGATACTGTTATCTAGGAAAATACTCCGTTTATACATTAATACTAACAGATAATATAATATTTAGTTTGAGAATAAATATTCTATTCATTTATCAAAATGAAATCTTCCTCGATCTTACAATATTTCAACTTACTTGGCAGATATTTGATTATCACAAGGTGGTATATTTAATAACAAAACTGATACAAACATAAACAAAAAGTAACTCAATGAAATCGGATAGACTATATACCCAGAAGTTATTAAAAGATACATTTAAAATTTAAATCTAAAATTTCAGCGCCCCCTCTCTTTCATGCGCGTGTGTAATCGCATCAAGGCAAACATCATTTTGTCCGCTGAAATCCTAAAGAACAACAAGCGCCACACGAAAAATTCTTTTCTACAGTCAGTTTTTTTTTAATTCTTGATATATAAAATTATATTTCGTTTACTTAATAATAAGGACCGATTCGGAATTAGCGTACATTTTTCTTTTATTTACAGTGAGGTTCGTCATTTACAAGGCCCGAGTGTCACACGAGGTAGTGGGCTACGCTTGGAGGCCATTTCTGGGTAAATGAGTGGAAAACAACGGCTTACTCCAACCTTGAACAGGTTAACATTGTAGTGATTAGGGAAACATCCTTTTGGTTCCACAGGGCAGTTGTACGTGGGAAGAAGCTGTTTGAGTGGAACTTACTTCTCACTGATGTAATATAGAGAGAATGTGTGTGGTTCGTTACTATGTAAGTGGCATGGCGTGTTCTTTTCTCAGAGAATGTAATTCGTCCGAGCACTTTCCGTGAAAGTAGCGACAGAGCATCGAGAGGGTGGGAGAGAGGTTGAAGGGTTGAGAATAGTTCGTCACCCACAAGAGGCTTTTGAAATCTATCAAGGCTGGAGAGTCCTGTCTGGACAACTCCCGTCCAAATGTGACCTTATAAAGGTAGAAGATTACAGGAAGATCAAACACTTACTGGAGCGGTACAGAGAGCCAAACATTTTATCTGGATCCTTAGCAATGGATTTTATGTATAAGTTTCACTTGGGGTCATGTATGAGTTTGAGGCTCAAAAATCTTTCGAGTCACGGTGTTTCCCTGAGATGATATTCGTTCATTAAAATTCATGGTACTTCGGGGTCAGATCAGCTAGGATGGAATGTAACTAGCTTGATCTTCGAATTGAATGTAACCAGCCAGTTTTACCCAAAGGGTAGTACTTGATATAGTAGAGCGTACCTTTTTGGGGTAACATACATGCTTTTTGCCATTCGCTTTTTGTGGGTAGATGCGCGCGCAATACAATCATTGGACTCTTTGGAACTCTTTTGCAAAGACACGTAGCTGAGCGGTCTTGAACAAAATTCATAACGATTTTTATTAGTACCGTAATCTCACTAGTCTACGACAAAATTCTTTTCTTGTGTTGTTGATCCGACAAGGTCATAAACGATTCATGCTGCCAGGAACTTAGCAACTATTTCTTCTTTCCGCAAATAATTGGATTGGCAATGCTGAAAATGTTATTCTCTTTCAGTTTAAAGGTTCTTTTTATCATACCGACCCAATCATCAGCTGCCGAACAATACATAGTTCATTATTGAGCTTGTAACCAATGACTGTCACCTTTGTCGATTTGTCTAGGTGGTGAGTTCTTGATAATATCGGCTTAGTTAAACTCTGTTAATCCCTGTCAAGTTGAGTAGATTAAACTGTCCGAAACTATTTGGGGTTACGAAGACAGAAATCATCGTGATCGAGGGTTTGAGTGTGTTGGACTTGTTTAACTACAAACAATGCCAGATAATGGGATCTTCTCCCAGAAGTTTTAGCTAAGGTCTACTCAATATACATCCTTGTGCAATACATTAAAACAAAACTAATAATGCCGTTATTATTTACTGTTTTTTTTCGTATTTTTCCAATGAAACATGACCCAGTGCACATGTTAGTATTTCGTAGGTCCATTCCATGAAGTCGTTCCTTGGAGATTGAACACAGATTCTAGAACACAGAGAGTTTCCGAGCCAGTCGATAGTACTTCGATTTGCTCACTGGTATGGCTTTCAGTGTGTTCATGCAGCGTTACAATTTTCATACGCTTCCTTGGAGTAACATCCATTGCAGACAATGGGCGTAGGACAACTAATCGAAAGTCAAGACAATAGTGTCTGGACGTGATAAAAATCTGATGTAATCACGAATGATGCAATACTTTTCAAGGCCAAACAAATTTTATCATACTCCCCGAAAATAGATTCATATTACTGCACATCACTTCAAATGACCTAATCTGAGAAAAAAAAATAGAAATCGATTATACCCTGTCAGTCCAATGGGTCTAAAACTGACCGTATGATGAAATTAAGGAAACTAAAGCAATTGTTTGAATTAATTTGCACAAGGGTATAGGTACAGTCAGAGGTGTTTTTTTTTTCTGTGGGCGTTGGAGAAACATAAATGTGCCTGAGAAGATACCTGTAATAGGGATTAGATACCCTGTTGAACTAATCTTTTATTGTTTCTGACCATTATCAGAGGTGCATCATTTTTGGCTAATTTTATTGATTTATTGTGCATTATTTTGGTTTATGGGATATTTGTATCGATTGATTTTGTCCTGCTCGTTTCTGCTAAACTAGAATATATTGTTTCACAATCAGCTCCAGCTACTGAACTCATAACACATAGATGAATCAGCCACTATCACAAGGATATCAGTAATGTGTTGTTTTGGAGTCTTTGAACATAATGCCATCTAATTTCGCTATTTCTTTGTTTTTTGTTGTCAACTGAGTTATAAATGTTGTAGCCAAGTAACGCATTGTTATTTTCCAATGCCAAATATCATGGTGAATATGAGTTATCACGTGTAAGCTGAAAATTGTGTTATGTTGATTCCAGTGATACCGTTTCTCTTTTGTTCTTGTTGAACCAAGAATATGCGGATTCTACTCTAAATAATCAACACATTCACAATATCCGATATCAATCAAATAACGGACACTTGAAGATGGCTAGATGTTTTGGCCGAAACATTGTGTCTATAATTTCATCTATAATAATCAATGTTTAGAACATTTCAAATGCTAATATATGCCTTATAAGGAAATATCCGTAATCCAATGGCAGAGCAGCCAGTGCTACTTTAGATTGAAATTTATACAATATTTCTCGTAAAACAATTTTTTCAGGAACAGAAGCTTCTTATCTGTCTATATTTCTGAGATGAGATATTATATACACTATTTACATTATTCGGATTGTCCTCATCTTTGTCGCCATATTTATTACAACGTTTCGGCCTTTCAGTATCTGTTTATATTTCTGAGATGAGGTATTATGTACATTATTTACATTATTCGGACTATTGTCCTCATCTTTGTCGCCATATTTATTACAACGTTTCGGCCTTTCAGTATCTGTCTATATTTCTGAGATGAGGTATTATGTACACTATTTACATTATTCGGACTATTGTCCTCATCTTTGTCACCATCTTTATCTGATTCTTCAGTATCTGTCTATATTTCTGAGATGAGGTATTATATACACTATTTACATTATTCGGACTATTGTCCTCATCTTTGTAGCTCCGGTCTTCTTCAGGTGGTTAGAATGTCGAACTGGGGCCTTTATTTCGCTCACTGTGGTAGACTGTTCTAGTTCCACGTGCCATGTTTAATGGATGCCAGTTATCATTTAACTCCTGTTAATTCCTCTCAGAAAGTTCTCCACTGCCTTAACCGGGTATTGACCTCACACTCTTTGGGTCCTGTTACTGGATCTAACTAACGCCTTTATCCACTGTGCCATATGTTCTTAAGTCGACTGTTATAGCTCTTTCCCTTATTGATGCGAGCTTCCTTCCTAACCTTTTATATGGAGTAGTTTAGAACGCCAACGTCTTGATTATGTCATTATATTCTCCTCGCGTTACGTGCTGTCCATTTTAGCTGTTGCTTCCGTCGAAAGCCCACAAGAGATGTGTTTTCTATTTTTTGTCATATTTCTTTAAATAATTTGAAGAAATCTATTTGACAATTCCATATATAAATTACTCAACTCGTTCTAGCACTATGGTGATAAATGTCTGGGAGTGTAACATGTTAACCCCTGTGCCAAGCAGTCCGATAGATTTTTACGAAACCTAACTTACTTTGATTCATGGCCACGTTAGGAGCGAACTCACTTCTCGAGCCATTTGATCAAGACCATGTTTGCTCACTTCTATGTTATCGAAAGTGCCAACGCAAGGAGAATGGAATGCGTTTTTTATCATTTCTATTTACAAGTCTGAACTTGGTAAAGTTTAAAATAATTTCCGCGGTCTTGTCGGGGAAGACTAATTTTCCACGATACAACCTCTTTCCTCACAGACGCAGCGTTGCAAACCTATCGCTATTCGACCGCTGTCTCCATGGCAAAATTCAGATTAGCGCCACTCTTCAGTTCCATCAGTTCAGACCTTTACAGAAAGTCGAATCGCATTAATTTCTAGTGTAAAATAACTGGTTAAATAGTGCTGTAACCCTGTTTTTCCTATATATATATATATATATATATATATATATATATATACCCTGTTTTTCCTCTTATATATATATATATATATATATATATATATATATATATATATATATATACATCGACAAAGATACATTATGCCGAGTTAAAAAGCACGGAAGTTTCCAGTGTTGGAAAAAAAAATATAGATAAAATTATTATTATTATTATTGTTATTGTTGTTGTTGTTGTTTGTTTGTTTGTTTGTTTGTTTAACAGCATATCAATTCTTATGGGACATTTAATGCAGAAACCTAATTTTTCTCGGAAGTATTAATAATTTTTTTTTTTTTGTGTCCAAGACATATATTGGTGGAATATCTTTTTTTCAAAAAAGGTATTGCTGGAAATAGTTCATTTTTTTTTCAAAAATGTATTATTGGGAACAACAGCAATTAAGATGTGGTTTTACGCTCCTCAAAACCTCCGGATCAGAGAACTTGATGCCGGGTGTAGTTTGTCGTCATACCCAGGACGTATTATTATTATAATTGTTTTATTTCTTAATTATTCTTGCTGTTTGATCGGACTTCGTTCGGGTGATGAGTACTTACTATGCTTGCGCCATAGAGAGATTGATAAGGTGATATTCTAAGGCCAAAAGTATGGACCACCTAGTGAGGATCTAACTTAAGTTATTCGTCGTTGCCCCTTTAATTTACTATTTTCTGGCACAAAACCGAAAAAACCCATTACATCAACGTCGATGTGGCAAAACATCACATTGCTGGAAATAATTTATTGCTGGTATTAAAATTTATTTTTACACTTTCAAGTGTTTTGACCCCAGTTTGGAAGTTAACTATTTGCCCATAGTTCATTTGAGACCCCAACACAAAACAGGAGATTCCAGCAAAAAAGATTGGTAGTTTTGGTTACCCAGGTTTTTCGTTTACAGGACACAGTTTATCGTCTTACCCAGGACACGGATGGTTCACCGTCTTGCCCAGGACACGGATATTTTTATCGTCTTACCCATGGACAATGTAGTTCATTAAAGTTCACCGTCTTACCCAGGACACGGATGTAGTTTATCGTCTTTTTTTATTGCTTGGTAAGTTTATCGTCTTTTTTCCTCAAAAATGTAGTTCATGCTGGAAGGACAATTTTCATCGTCAAAAAAAGTATTGACACTGGTTTATAAAATTTATTTTACACTTACCCAGTACGGATGTAGTTCACCGTCTTACCCAGAACACAAAAGTTTATCGTCTTACCCAGGACACGGATGTAGTTCATCGTCTTACCCCGGACACGGGTTTGGTTTATCGTCCTACCCAGGACACGTATGTGGTTCACCGACCTAGGACACGGGCTTATCGTCTTACCCAGGACACGGATGTGGTTACCGTCTTACCCAGGACACGGATGAACCTGAAACTCGTCTTACCCAGGACAATGTTTCATTGTCTTACCCAGGACACGGATGTAGTTCCTTCAAAACCGTCTTACCCAGGACACGGGTGTAGTTTATCGTCTTGTTCATCGTCTTCAGGACACGGATGTAGTTCATCGTCTTACCCAGGACACGGGTGTAGTTTATCGTCTTACCCAGGACACAGGTGTGGTTTATCGTTACCCAGGACACGGGTGTAGTTTATCGTCACCATCTTACCCAGGACACGGATGTAGTTCACCGTCTTACCCAGGACACGGGTGTAGTTTATCGTCTTACCCAGGACACGGATGTAGTTCACCGTCTTACCCAGGACACGGATGTAGTTTATCGTCTTACCCAGGACACGGATGTAGTTCACCGTTGTATCACCGTCTTACCCAAGACACGGATGTAGTTTATCGTCTTACTCAGGACACGGATGTAGTTTATCGTCTTACCCAGGACGCGGATGTAGTTTTCATCGTCGTTGACCAACATCGAGATTGATATGGACGAGAAGCAACACATTAGAATTATGTCGGCGCACATACGCAATACTGACAGAGGCTATATTTTTGTCACAACTGTATATGTAATTACAAATGATTCACAACCTAATATTGTCAGTACAAAGTCGATTGTCATGAAATACAGTCAAACTTATATTCAACCAGTATAAACCTTGGATGCACAAAACAAAACCTACCGAGCAAGTAGGCGTTGGACCTGGAAAAGACAACACACGTTCTTTTAGTCTTCCTTACTTTGGTGTATATTTTCAAAGCGTGTCTTTTCGGTATTATCGTTCTTTATGTTATTTTTTCTACATATGAATGTTGCTTTTTATTACAGTGTTCTTGGTCGATATACTTTTAAAATAAGGTTTACGGCCACATCACGTTGAAACATCGGTTCCGATATGATCACACAAGTTAAGCAACGTCGAATCTCTTCAGTACCTAGATGGGACTATCAGGTGCTGTAAGCTTGGATGTGCGGGTGGGTAATAGATAATGACTCGGAATTGTTAATCGGAGAGCCGAGTTCAAATTCGATATGGGTTCGTTATATTCACTTACGCGCAAATATCATTAGAAAGGGATGAATACACTTTTCCTCTCCCAGCTATGGGTTAATTTAAAGACTTTTGTACAATCTAAAAATATTTCCTGGCTTTACATAACCTGTAAAGGGTTGATAAGCCGTAGAAAACAAATCAAAAAATCAATCTAATTAAGCAAATATCATTGGGAAAAGTATGAATACACATCTTCTCCCACAGCTATGGGTTAATTATTAAAACGTATATCACTAAATCATTATTATCACAAAGATTCTAGTAATCTAAAAATGTACGTACAGAAATCTTTGTGAAGTGTTATATCAGACGATGGAGAATATGATATTCTTATTGTAATTTACCCACTTTTGGAGAGGTAAGTTTCCAGCAGTGAGCCCTGACAGTCGGACCGAGCATGCTTGCTGTAACACTCTCGTTTGTATATGTTTTTACTACTGTTTCTTTAATATATTTAACTCAATTCCTCTCTTCGTGTCTTTATTTCTGGCCCTAACAAGGCCACTACAGATACAGAAATTAAACGTCTTGTCGTACTAGGAAAAGATGTCTTCCAAAATATAAACAGAGTATTAAGATACTGAGAATTTTCGCTGGAAGCAAAGTTAATAGTGCCCAAATCTAATATAATATCAATCTTTTTATATGGCAATGAATGCTGGATAAATTCCTTAGGGGTGAAGAAGAAGACTGGGACAACAGAGATGTGGTTTTATGGAAAATTGTTGAGAATACCCTAGACAGAGTATGTGAATAACGAAAAAGTTTTAAGGAAAACGGTAACAAAAACGACACTTCTGCTTGGAACCAGAAAAAAAGCAGCTGGGGCAAGTAATCAGGAAAGAAGGCTTTGAGAATTTGAAACTCACGTGATATATTGAATGCAAAAAGAGCAGTGAGGAACAGCGTGTTATGTCTATAAGGAGCTTATGCAACTGGACGGTATGACTGGGATTAAGAGAGAAAGTAAGAGGACAAAAATTGCTTACAGATACAAAGATAGGAAGTTGTGGAGAGCCATGATCACGCACATCCTGAAGGGACAGGTACATAAAGGAATTGGACTATGTATTATAGAAGTAATATAGTGTGAATATTGGTAGGCTAAGACTTGTAATATGATTGGAGATATTGATTAACTCTAGACGCTAGTTTGCTTAAGATTTTGTCTATGGAGGTCGAACTTCCGGTGGTATGGTTCGCGGGTTTAAAAGTTGTTCAGTGCGCCTATTTTCATATTGACATGAAACTATTGATTTTAATGGTTGAATTGTTGGATGGTATGAGGCACTTTCGTTCTTTCATTTCTCTATTTATTTATTGGTTTGTTTATTACACTCATAGATTTCTTTTTGCGTTTTCAATCAAGAAATTCTTCTTATTCAATTGAGAAAAAATCTGTTAAATGAGACGATGACAAATATGACATTAGAAATAAGAAATTCGAAGACATGTTCGACTAACGAAAGATGCCTTCCAAAATCTAAACAATGTATTAAGAAACAGGATATTTTCGTTTAAAAACAAGGGTAAAAGTTTTCAGTTCTCATGTAATATCAATAAATTGATTCGGTTCTTTAATAACCCCAAGTTATTTACACAGAGAAAATAATTTGAGACTAAGACATTTTAGATAATAATTATTTAGGGATAAAAGTAAAATAAAATTCTTACTAATTAACCCATAGCTGGGGGATATGGGTGCATACCTGTTTCAAGCGTATTTGTGCATAAGTAAATACCCAACGAGAATTGGAACTCGGCTCTCATATAAAAAATTCCGAGCCATTATCCATCACACCAGCCGCACGATCAAGCTTGTATTCAGTACCTGGTATTCCCAAGCGTCCAGCCATCTAGATACTGACACGGCTCGACGTTGCTTAGCTTCCGTATTCGTACGAGAAGCCGTGTTTTAACGTCATGTAGCCGTAAGCCCTTGAGGCAGTAGAGATGTATTTCTTTGAGGATTGTGTAGAATAACCAGGACGGAGAATGTGTGCAACGATGGAGCTTTGAGTAAAATATAAAGAAAAAGGATAATTCTGTTATACACTGACACCTTAGTGGGTCACAAACTAATATCCTTCTCCTTGATATGTGATACTTTTGACTGGAAAGAGAATTCAACTATGCATTTTATAGTTGCGCTATTGTAAACTTTCTTTTAAAATGATATTTTTCCCTGTTGAAACC